ATGTAGCAAATTTATGTTGTAATGATAATCAAACAAAACTCTTGACTTTAAATAAGTAAACAGTTATAAACAGTTACCTATTTAAGCATGAAGGTGGTAAAATATAGACGCTGTAGGACAACATCGGTTAACAACATGTAGGCCTATGCTACATTGAGATTCGATCTCGGGTCGATTGAAGCTCCTCGAAGCTCGTGTTGCTGCGTTGATCACTGAGCTACCTTCTGTACGCTGATAAAGTCGTAAAGCCTCTTTGATGTGGCCTAAATGTTTTTATTGGAATGTTTTATGTTGAAATGTTTTCATTATTTATTCAATTACATTTCAGTAGCCTAATTTCAGTATTGTGATTATGAATTATTTTAACTACATTTCACTTGTTGAATTCATCTGCTACCAGCTTTCAATCGCTCTGAATCAGCCAGCATATCTGCGGAAGGAGATTACGCATTAGAGAGAATAAACGAACACTTTTCAGAGTCTATGATTGTAGCGCCTCTTAGCGGTAAAAGGCAGCAAATACACCACACATTTTACCGCCGCGGTGGAACGGCTGATGTGGGCATTGTCATGGCTTGCCTCGACATTTGCGTTTGAATAGCGCGCGTCCTCCGTGGGCGTGTCAGATTAACGCGTAATGAAGTGTAATGAGCTGGGGAAAAAAATACTGACAGCACTCTCTTTTCATACAGATTGCATAAACTGAGAATATTTGTTTTTTATATAAATCACTTCATTTAAAAGAAGAGAATTCAAGCTTCATAAAGAAAAATCTCTCGTGCCTGTGTGACAAGTAATCGCGGAGTTACAGTTAATCTTAGGACGCGTTTCAGAATGGACTTCACTGACAGAGAGAACGCAGAACTTGCATCATGTTTGTTTTTCTTTATTTGGTGAAAAGCACAACAATTTGTTTTTATTGTGAGTATCCACAAAAAAAATAGAAACTTAACAGGATCTAATGATGTATAACACTTATATGTAAAATCAAAATCAACCGAGTATTTTGAGTCTCTTTTGCACTGATAAGAAAAAAAGCGAGCAGATCACGCCGGCGTGATTGTCTATCCCAGAGGGTTAAGTGCGCCTTATAGTGCGGAAAATACGGTACCTAATATGTGACCCTGGACCAAAACAACAGTCACATGGGTATTTTTTTTTTTAAATTGAGATGTATACATCATCTGAAAGCTGAATAAATAAGCTTTCCATTAATGTATGGTTTGTTAGGTAGGACAATATTTGGCCGAGATACAACTATTTGAAAATCTGGATTCTGAGGGTGCAAAAAAATCGAAACATTGGGAAAATCGCCTTTAAAGGGTTAGTTCACCCCAAAATGAAAATTCTGTCAGTAATTACTCACCCTCATGTTGTTCCAACCCCGTAAGACTTTCATTCATCTTCGGAACACAAATTAAGATATTTTTTATTAAATCTGAGAGCTGGATCACTCCTCCATAGGCTTCTTAAGGGATCGAAACTGGCCGGCCCAAAAGTTATGAAAGACATCGTTAAAATAGTCAGAGTGACTACAGTGGCTCAATCTTAAGTTTATCAAGCGACGAGAATACTTTTTGTGCTCAAAAAACAAACAAAAATAACGACTTTATTCAACTACACTGAGCTTACGTGTGACATGCAACCTAGAAGCTTTGCGTAGTTTCACTACGTGAAATCTCATGCCCCACAGAGAAGGAAATGAATAGTTGAATAAAGTCGTTATTTTTGTTTGTTTTTTGCGCACAAAAAGTATTCTCGTCGCTTGATAAACTTAAGATTGAGCCACTGTAGTCACTCAGACTATTTTAACAATGTCTTTCATAACTTTTGGGCCGGCCAGTTTCGATCCCTTAAGAAGCCTATGGAGGAGTGATCCAGCTCTCAGATTTAATAAAAAATATCTTAATTTGTGTTCCGAAGATGAACGAAAGTCTTACGGGGTTGGAACAACATGAGGGTGAGTAATTACTGACAGAATTTTCATTTTGGGGTGAACTAACCCTTTAAAGTTATCCATTTATCTTCGCGATTGTGCTGAATTCACTCACAAAAATTGTATATATTTACAGTAGGAAATTTACAAAATATATTAATGGAACATGATCTTTAGTTAATATCCTAATGATTTTTGGCATACAAGAAAAATGGATAATTTGACCCATACATTGTATTGTTGGCTATCAAATATACCCGCTATTGCTAGCCTGGCTAACGTCAGACCCAAGTCTCATTGAGACTTGGGTCTGGGAACCACATGTTCATTTTCTCGTATTTGAGGCGTGGTTTACGAATGTCCAGAGCCGTTTATTGGGTGCTAAGAATGTCTATCAAATGCGCCTGTACGTAGCTCATAGCCAATCGTTTCAATTATACCAGATGACGTATGTAGAGCGACAGAAATTAGACGAGGAAGAAGACGATGGGTCAGAGATTTATGTGTACACGATGGCGTGTATCTAACGGCCGTTTCACACCGCATGCGTGAGACGGCGTGTATTTTTTTCGGCGTGCATGTTAATCAATGAGTCCATTCACACCGGGAGCAGGAGCAGCACGTGAGAGTCGAGCAGGAGCGGCGAGTGAGCAGCAGTGAAGCGGGGGTTTCGGCGTCGAATCTGTTTTTGCTGCTCTGCTCACGCTCAATTAAAGTGAAAGCACACTTTTGATGGACAAAAATAAATATGATTTCACACAAAAAGTGCCCAAAATGCACAGAATAAGCATGTCTAGTGAGTTTTAACAAGAACTTGAGTAGGCAAATAAAAGAAAATAAAGACTTATAGAAGATTTAGGCTACCCGGTAAAAACTTGTTTTTAATTATTCAGTTTGGGTGAAAGTTGTGTATCTGTATTATATAAAAAAAAACTAAAGTAAACTAGCCAGAAAATATATATAAACGTTCTTTTAGTTTATGTAACACACAGACAGCTACATAGGCTAGCACAACCCAAATCAAACCCGAGTGTGTGGTTTATTTGTGTGTTTTGTTTTTTATCCGCAGAGTTGCAGTCTTGTAAACATATCGAAAGTATGACTGAAACGAATAGATTGGAGCCATTTTCTGGGTTGTTTTGTTGTTTAACATTAATATGCGAATGTTGTACACCTCCCCATTACAAACTTTCAAGACTATCAATGTTATAAATTACCAACTTCTAAAAACAAATGTATAGTTGTCTTTGTAAAGAATTGCTCGCTTATATATGTAGCTTTGGAGCCGCTGCTGTGACACTGTACAAACGCTTCCAGTGTGAATACTCTCGCGCAGCTGCAGTGACGATGTAGTTACGCTGACGCGCTGCTCAAGTGCCGCTCACGCTTGCGGTGTGAAACGGCCGTAAGGCTACATCGAAAGGTAACTTCGCGTCTGCTGCCATGTTGGATCCATAGCTATAAACAAACTGCTTCGGTGTGTCGCATAGACGTCGTCGTCTTGCTGCTCCCTCCCCGTTCTGTGATTGGTTCCCTAGATGAGGCGAAAATTTGGTCCATGGTATCCCGACTACCTAGCAGCGTGAATAAAATCGCGCTGCGGCAAGGCAGTATGGGGAAACCCAGGCTACGCTATTGCCACAATTATACCCGTATAATATAATATATTATATTATATATAATACAAATATACCCAAATATACCCACAAGACTGGTTTTGTGATCCAGGGTCACATATTTCCGACAACTTAAAAATCAAAACGGAGTACCAGTACATAAGGGTAAAACGACTATATAAAATGTTGAATATAATGTATAATAAGGCAATGGGGGAATGATAGTTGGTCCTGATAATAATACAATAATAATAATAAAAGAGTAAAAAATAAAAAATAAACTTTATCTTGGCTTAAAATATCATATCGTATTGTGAGTTCAGAATCGTGATTTGCGTTACACCCCTGGTAAATCATGGTAAATGTTGAAAAGCTTTCTAACTATATAATTGTGGCTCAATGTTTCTCCTGTTTCCCACATCAGTGTTGTTGAGAATGTCAGCGCTGTTTCATTTGGCTTTAATCTAGTTTCATTCATGAGGATTTTGATTTGTGGTTTGTATCGGAGAAGTCACCCAAGTGGAATGCTTCTCACTGGATCTTATGAACTTTACCTATTTAAATCAAGATCTTGTGAATCTGAACCAATCGATGAACCTGGGTTAATACCATAGACCGTAAATTAAGATGGAGGATGCACCTTCACTTTCTTCCATTTGTAGTAAGTAAAGCAGCCAATGTCCCAATATGGCGCTGACATCTTGAGTCTTGAATCTGCGCAGTAATGAGTGTGAAGTGGAGCCGTGATATCAAGGTCCTGCCCATAGACGGTTGTTGTCTTTTAGCTAGCTGGCCCATAACATTTATGTTCTAATTAGCTTATAAATTTAACTTACCGAAAAAAAATTCAAAGGTCCATCGGATCTCTTAGGCCGGTTAGTACAGTTTACTGCAGAACAACTCATTATGTGAAATAAACAGTTATGGAAATGTAGAAATTATAGTTTAAGCTTCAACCTGAAGATACAGAAAAAAAGTCGGTGCCTCAGTGACTACTTCACTCAAAGAAGCTGTCAATCATGACGTCACATACGTTTTTATAACATCAAATAAATGAATAACTAAAACCAAACTTATTTTATAAAAAACTTACATCAGCGTGATAAAAACTGCCTAAAATGACTAAAAACCACCTAAAATGACTAAAAACCATCTTTGGAAAAAATTATTTAAAGTGTAATTTGATTGTTCAGTTTGTCTCATGTCCCATTACATTACATGGAGAGGGCTTATGACCTATACTGCATCCAGCCACCTAGGGGCGATCGAGATGATTTCAGGACTTGTGTGGCACGCTTGGTAAATACCCAGCCCTAATCAGCGATACTAGGCTATTTAAGCAAAGATTTTAGTATATAGATAAATGAGTGCTTAATTCTGCAGAATTGTATTCTGTAGTCTTTCAATAGCATGCAAGTAAAAAAATAGACAAGTAAAGGAGTGCTTACTAGTGTACTCTTTCAATAGTATATAGGCATAAGCCCGCTGACAGAGCCATTCAGCAATTTCAGCTTTCTCTCCCAATGCCTCATTTAGCTCCTGTAAGACAAGACAGAGAAATTATATACACAAACACATTGACCCACATTTATTTTCTCTAATATTGTGAGTATTAAATTATATATGTATGATAAAATGATGTGTTGGATGATGAACTATAGATTTGCAAAAAATTAAGGGGATAAACTTATCTGTCACCCCAAAAACACTCTTATAGTAAAAACATACACACTTGGGTCAAGTACTTTTTGAATATTGTGCAATTGAAAACTTGAGCAAATAAAATATGCATCAAACTTTTGCATTTTACCACCAGACTCTAGTGATGTCAAATGTACCTGTACACTGGTGCCAAGTGATAAAAAAAAAAAAAAAAAAACTATTAAGGGTCTTTCACACTCAGCGCGATTATGTATGTCATAATTGAATTTACGCTCTTGATTTGAAACAATAGATCCCTATTTGCCCATTGGCCTCTGTTCATCATGGCCTCCTAATCATCCCCATATATATATATATATATATATATATATATATATATTAGGGGTGGAACGGTACACAGAAGTCACGGTTCGGTTCATACCTCGGTTCAGACATCACGGTTCGGTACGATTTCGGTACAATGGAGGGAAAAGCAAAACAAAAATGCAGAAGGCATTGTATTTTTTAAATAAGTTTTATTATATAAACCACAGGGCTCAACATAAAAAAAAATCCCCACTGGCCCCCGGGGCCAGTAGATCATAGTTTTGCTGGCCCCTTCTATATTTTGACTGGCCCTGAAAGAAATATAAGGAAAAGCCCTTTTCCATTAAACTGTATTTATTGTATACATTAGGATTAATCAAAACAGCGAAGGGAGTTCAGGAATTAAGAGAGAGCCCCTGGACACATGCAAAAATAACCAAATGTCAGTGTGCAGTAAATTTGTCAATAGCCTACCTGCTTTCTCCTCATCTCCCTCTCTCTTTTTTTCTCAGTCTCCTCATCTTACTTATTAAAGCTAAAGTTATTCATTCAAGAGAGCTGAGAGTGATTTTCTTTTTGCCTTTTGTTGTTTGATTCTCAGTAATGGCGTGATCGTCAGCATGTTTATTAGACTGCTTCCCCTTTAAGAACGAGTGCAGATCTAATAGTCTACTGATGCACCATATTTTCTCCCAACTATTTCCATAACTGCGTCCATTTTAGACATAAACTGTTTAAGTGAATCTCCAAGCCAGTCATTTTGACACATTTTTGTGTACATTTGATCGTTTAGACGCGCACATGAAGCCCAAAGTATAATTTGCTTGTCTCGTTACGATCTGTTTCGGAGCGCGCGCCGCATTGGGAACCGCATCTCTTGCGCAGATTTTTGTGCTTTTAGTTTTAATAGCTCTTTTTATTATTAAAAGCGTCCCGCAATTTAGCAACAGAAGATACTGCATTTTACAACAATCACCGATCGTGCTGATTCTGTCTTAAAGTTTGAGTTTTAAGGAGAAATGACAGCGTACTGCTGCGAAGGGAAAGAAGTTGCGCTAGACAGAATGCAGTTTTTAATGGTTTTACCTCAAATATATTCTATAATCTTTGGAAGCCGAAATCTAAAATAAAATCATACTAATATCACAGATCTAATGTGTAACCATAACTTGAATGTTTAGTTCTGTCCTCCGTCAGGTGTTGTGCGTGTTGTGGCACCGCGTGAGATCTCTCTCTCTTCTGGACTGCGCGAATAGCAAAAATGCATCACAGACAAATGGTTTAATTTTATTATAGAAATGGCTGGCGACTCAGCGAGATGGTAAAAAAAAAAAGTCTTTATAGCAATAATAAATGATAGCCTACGTGTATTTCTCCAGTACCGATAGCAGAACCGATAACGTCCGAGCTTATCTATACAGCGCGGTCTTTCAAAATTCAGTCCCGTTTAATACCGGGTTTCGGTACTCTTTCTCGTATTAGCCTCGTAGTTCTTTGACATTTTAACACGTTATAAATAACCTGAAGTAACATTGACACTCTTCGCGCCACTGTGTATGACGTTTGCTGTTTGTTTTATCTGATGGCCAGTTACTGGCCCGCGCGGGCAAGTGACTGGCCAATCAACTAGCCCGACATACACTTTTACTGGCCCCGGGCCATCGGGCCATTGCTTATGTCGAGCCCAGTATAAAGGCATAGAACCAGTTTATTTGTAGTGCACTGACAATAGTTTTATTTAATTAGTTTATTAATTAAATTAATGAAAAGACAAAAAGACCTTGCGATATGTTTGGTAATTGTACCTGAATTAATTTAAAATTAATTTGCTATATTTCAGATCAATATATTTGTTTTCCTTAATTTTAATTAACATTATTAATTAACAATGTAACATTATTCTCATCTGAATTATAAATAATTGATTTCTGTTAAAATAATACTACCATTAAAAACAAATTCGATTTTCTTTTTTAATCAATGTAGAATATGTAAGATTAGTGCTCCGAGGACGACAAATGAAAACCAATGCAATATGATGAATGTCCAAAAGATGGAACACAGACTGTTTTGAAATGGAGTCGGATAAATATGTTTTTCTTTTAAAACAGTGTGTGTGTGTGTGTGTGTGTGTGTATGATTTTGGTTGAGTGACAGTTGTAGGTTACAGTTTGACAAGAGTTTACAGTGTGCACAATGTTGTGTTTTATTGCGAGTGTACACAAATACAAGTAAACACTTTGCAGGTTTAATGATCTGTATGAACAAAATTACGCAGTATGTTTTTTTTATGTTTCCACTGTTCGGTCGCGCGCCTCTCTCTCTCTCTCTCTGTCACACACACACACACACACACACACACACACACACAGTTCGATCTCGCCTCTCTCTCGCGCGCGCGCGCGCACACACACACACACACACACAGTCCAGCATTTCAATCTTGACATCGCAGCCTTCATTATGCGGTCACACCAAACACGAATAGAGCGTCAAATTCGCTTCTAGTTCGACGCTAGTCCAAATCGAATAGGACGCGCGTATAAAGCCAACGTTTGAAGTGAACGCGCGTTCAGAGCTAACCCGATGGTAGCCTACAGATTATGTGTCCCTAAAGAACCCGCGTAATCTAACGGTAGTTCCGCATTAGGCTACATTAATTAATTTGCACGCGAGTTTTATTTATTTTTATACCGTGTATTCTCCGTGTAAATTCGTGCACCGAACCGTGACGCCCGTACCGTTTCGGTTCGATATGAATACATGTACCGTTCCACCCCTAATATATATATATATATATATATATATATATATATATATATATATATATATATATATATATATATATATATATATATATATATATATATATATATATATATACACACACACACTCACCTAAAGGATTATTAGGAACACCTGTTCAATTTCTCATTAATGCAATTATCTAATCAACCAATCACATGGCCGTTGCTTCAATGCATTTAGGGGTGTGGTCCTGGTCAAGACAATCTCCTGAACTCCAAACTGAATGTCAGAATGGGAAAGAAAGGTGATTTAAACAATTTTGAGCGTGGCATGGTTGTTGGTGCCAGACGGGCCGGTCTGAGTATTTCACAATCTGCTCAGTTACTGGGATTTTCACGCACAACCATTTCTAGGGTTTACAAAGAATGGTGTGAAAAGGGAAAAACATCCAGTATGCGGCAGTCCTGTGGGCGAAAATGCCTTGTTGATGCTAGAGGTCAGAGGAGAATGGGCCGACTGATTCAAGCTGATATGAGAGCAACTTTGACTGAAATAACCACTCGTTACAACCGAGGTATGCAGCAAAGCATTTGTGAAGCCACAACACGCACAACCTTGAGGCGGATGGGCTACAACAGCAGAAGACCCCACCGGGTACCACTCATCTCCACTACAAATAGGAAAAAGAGGCTACAATTTGCAAGAGCTCACCAAAATTGGACAGTTGAAGACTGGAAAAATGTTGCCTGGTCTGATGAGTCTCGATTTCTGTTGAGACATTCAGATGGTAGAGTCAGAATTTGGCGTAAACAGAATGAGAACATGGATCCATCATGCCTTGTTACCACTGTGCAGGCTGGTGGTGGTGGTGGTGTAATGGTGTGGGGAATGTTTTCTTGGCACACTTTAGGCCCCTTAGTGCCAATTGGGCATCGTTTAAATGCCACGGCCTACCTGAGCATTGTTTCTGACCATGTCCATCCCTTTATGGCCACCATGTACCCATCCTCTGATGGCTACTTCCAGCAGAATAATGCACCATGTCACAAAGCTCGAATCATTTCAAATTGGTTTCTTGAACATGACAATGAGTTCACTGTACTAAAATGGCCCCCACAGTCACCAGATCTCAACCCAATAGAGCACCTTTGGGATGTGGTGGAACGGGAGCTTCGTGCCCTGGATGTGCATCCCACAAATCTCCATCAACTGCAAGATGCTATCCTATCAATATGGGCCAACATTTCTAAAGAATGCTTTCAGCACCTTGTTGAATCAATGCCACGTAGAATTAAGGCAGTTCTGAAGGCGAAAGGGGGTCAAACACAGTATTAGTATGGTGTTCCTAAAAATCCTTTAGGTGAGTGTGTGTATATATATATATATATATATATATATATATATATATATATATATATATATATATATATATATATATATATTAGTGCTGTCAAACGATTAAAATATTTAATTGCGATTAATCGCATTAATGTCATAGTTAACTTGTGATTAATCGCAATTAATCACACATTTTTATCTATTCTAAATGTCTCTTGATTTCTTTTTGTCCCATTATTTTTTTCTTATTTTAATGCTCTTATCAACATGGAAAAGTGGATCGGCTTGCTTTGTGCAAATGTTTTTTAATGAAAACAACATTGGCATATACTGTGTTCAATTTCACACTAATATTCTCACTTGGAGCAAATAATCTCTCAATGTAACACTGTCCATCAATAAAAGGGTGAAAGAAATAAAGACGAGGTCCTGATATTGACGAGGGGGCGGAGAATTCGCATCAGCTGTGTGTGTGTGTGTGTGTG